GAATGTGTGGCAAGAAGCCAGGGGGTAGTTCCGGCGCTACTGAATTGCCGCTAAAGCGCGGGCAAACGCGGCATTTTGAAATTTCGAACTTCAAAAGTCGTTTTCGGAGGGAAAAACGGCTCGGAAAAATCGGAAAAAATTACTGCGTGATCAGGAGACAATGTAGTTTCTGAAAATGCAAGAATTAGAAACAGGTTAATAAGCTCATTTTGGTCGTGAATTTCATTGGTGATGTCAAAACAGCTCTCCGGTCAAAGGGGGTGCTCTAAATCCAAGGGGGCGACTAAATTTGAGAGGCAATAGGGGTGCATTTTTTAGATTTTTACGAAAAAGGAGAGTGAGGTGTATCAATTCCTATGTAATATCGATTCTAGATATCATTTATCATGTCGAACAAGCCCGAGTGTGGAAAGGTGGAAGGGTGCATTTTTTAAAAAAAAAAAAAAAAATCACCTAACAAAGGAAGGAAGGTATCTTTTTCCGTCTATTTTTATTCAACAAGTCTGAAAAATGTAAAAGATTAATTTTACTCAACAATGATACGTTTTATGCATGAAGGTGACCATCATGGCTGTTCACGGTATGAAAATAATGTAACAGGAGCACCCAATGAGTTGTTTTTGCTCACATGACGTACCTTTTCTTGTCAAGATAGGATAAAATCTGAATCAGCGTGCTGATTCAAATCCTGTGTCAGGCTCGTCAGGATCTTTCACTTCGGATTTCTCCAAGTTTTTACAGTTGAAGTCGGCACAACTTCTGTGAAAATCAGGGCATGATCTTACAAGTACGCTGCATAGTGTCAAACCCTTTCTTAAAATAACAACGGAGGATATACTGAGGAGCGACTCTAGAGCTGGACTCAGGTCGGTCGAAAGTGGATTTAATATCGTTGTTCTAATACTTTCATCCCGATTGACAAGCATCCAGATCGACTTGTCCCGTCCACAGTTGGATTGTAGCTCCTTAAATTGATGGTGCTTCGTAGCTGAAAATGCCGGAGTTAATCTCTCTATTTGCGATGAAGATTTTGGAAGCTGCAACTTTTTCCTTTGAACACGTGATGACGGACGTTTTTGAGAGTCTCATTTTTGTGGCACCATAGAGAAGAAATGTTACTCCTTTTTCAGCTTTCCATATTCGTTTAAGGCTTTACTTGGGATCTAAGAACCTTTCGGTAGATTCTTGCAGGTAAAGATCTGATTCCCGTGTATTGAATGTAGTTCCTTTTCTGATTCCGTGCATGTGGCTGGTCGAATCGCAAGTAGTAAATGCATTCAAGAACAGTAGCTTCTCTTATAAACGTTGACTGATTCTGTAACGTATACAAGGGATGTTGTGAGTGATTGTTTCGCATTAAGCGTTTAAGTAATACCCTTTCTAAAGAGCAAGGAAAAATGTATGTCTTCTGATTGATTTAACAAAAAAACAAATGGGTCCCGATCCTCTCCTATTATATTTATGTTGTGGTGCCCTTGCAAGCTTCAACACGCTTTTCAACGATATCAACATCTGCATATCCTTTCGCATGCACCACCCTACACCATGGATTGGAAGTTTGTACGGAATATGGATAAGTAGATTTTAATTAAGTCCATGCAATGACCAATAGGGTATAGACGAAGAAAAAGAGAATGATTCCTCTTGTAGAGATGGTTAAGGAATGCTAGAGAAATACTAAAATTGGAAGCGAGTATGTTTTGCTTGTTAATGCAATAGGTAGGGACAACACGCGTTTTTAGCATATATTCCTATCAGTCGTACTATTATGATCTTTGTTTTATTAAATAAACTTTTCACATCTAATTTCTGTTCTAGGGCCAGAAATAAACAGAAATAGACATCTTCCTTGCCTCGTTAGGTGAATTTTTTTTTTTAAAAATGCACCCTTCCACATTTCAAATGTAGCCACCCTCTGGGATTTGGGGCACCCCCTTCAACCAGCGGGCTTAACCTAACTCATTAGGTGCTCCTGTTAAATTATTTTCATACCAAGAACAGCCATGATGGTCACCTTCATGCATAAAACGTATCATTGTTGAGTAAAATTAATCTTTTAAATTTTTCAGACTTGTTGAGTAAAAATAGACGGAAAAAGACACCTTCCTTCCTGTGTTAGGCGAATTTTTTTTTTTTTTAAAAAAAATGCACCCTTCCGTTTTTCCACACTAGGGCTTGTTCGACTTGATACATGAAATCTAGAGTCAAAATTACATAGGAATTGATACACCTCACTCTCCTTTTTCGTAAAAATCTAAAAAATGCACCCCTACTGCCTCTCAAATTTAGCCGCCCCCTTGGATTTAGAGCACCTTCTTTGACCGGGGAGCTGTTTTGACATCATCAATGAAATTCACGACCAAAATTATGCAGGAACTGATGCACCACACCCGTCTTTTCACGTATAAATCTAAAAAATGTACCCCTCCTGCCTCTCAAATTTAGCCACCCTCTTGGATTCAAAGTACCCCCTTTGACCGGGGAGCTGTTTTAACGTCACCAATGAAATTCACGACCAAAATTATCCAGGAATTGTTGCACCACACCCGTCTTTTCACGTACAAATCTTAAAAATGAACCCCTCCTGCCTCTTAAATTTAGCCGCCCTCTTGGATTTAGAGCACCCCCTTTGACCGGGGAGCTGTTTTACATACGAAAAGATACCTCACATGCTACTATAGGAACACTTTAAAATACCGAAATCCCATAAGGCCTTATTATGGCCGCCTTTGGATTTTAGGCATTTTGGGGGGTGCTCCAGGGTTGGACCATGGTAAACGCCTTAGTTGGCCTTTAGTATGTTGTTCAGGAGGATCTACTGATAACGTTTACATAGGAAAAGTTTGTTATGCAATTTGTTCCCGGTCAAACCGCATTTCTCTCTAACTAACACAATAGAGATAACATTTTTATAATTATGGCAACAAGGGATAGGAGTGGAAGGAGAGGGGATGTTCTCAAACTTTTATTAAACAAGTAGATACTCCCAAGTTCATAATTATATGTTAAAAGTAAGATCCTGGAGAAATTTTAGATTTTAACAAGTAACTACGCGTTGAGTCGCAAAGATCCGCCGCTCTCGCGCGGAAAAAAAATCCCGGGTTTTTTGCGCGTAATTTGGCAACAAATTATCGTACAAATTTCGTCAATATACCGTTTTAAAGCTCAAACAATATTTTACAACTTTAGCAGAAGGCATTTTTTCCGATTTCTACCGACTTGGGACCTGAAATCAGCTTTAAAGATTTTTAGAAAAAACAAATTTTCGGTTTTTCGTAAATTTGACGAATATGGCAATTCTTCCTCCAAACATGTACCTGATTCAATTTCTGACAATTTGAAAAGAAAAATCCGTCTCAATAAGATAATTTGATACCACTAGCAAGCACTCATTGTCAATTTTTAAGAACTTCCTTGATTTTTCTTTTTGGTGCAAAGCAAATTCTAAGAAAATCTCTGTTGGTTTTTTTTCTTGTAAAAAAATTTAACAAAAGCGGCGAATTTTAAACACTACAAACAAAAATATGTGGCTTGGAAGTTTCATTGTTGACAGTTGGTTCAAATGGGAGAGTGTTTCAGTTTTATTTGTGACTAACCAATGTTGACAAGAAATGCTGGTGACGTCTGTAATACCAGAAAAGTTCAAAAAATTAAGAAGATCTTGTGAAAAATTATTTAGATGTAAGTTATTCAGAAAACTACATAGGATGTTCAAAAAGCTTTGCCTTATTTCCAGGTTTTAAGCAAACGAAAGCAGCTATCAATTTTCGGTTTGTGTGGGCTTAAAGTAGACGTAATTACCAACAAAACAAGACTAAGAACAGCTCTCTAGCTTAAAAAATGACAAGAGATACAGGGTTTTGAAAATGACATGTAGCGTGACCGCCTCCAGGATTTTTAGCTACAAATATGCGTGTCAAGAAAAAAAAAAGTTAAATGAGAATAGAATGTATTTTTTTATAAAAATCTAAAAATCGTACGGAAATTGACGAACTTTAAGCTTCTTGATCGGTTGACACTGCTGACTCAACATTCGGCTGTTTTTCGAAGTGTTTTCCACCACTTTGAACTCAAGACTTCAGCCGCAGTTTACCCGGGAATTCATGGAAAAATACACCATCGTCGTTATCCCGCACCCCCTTCAGTCCGGACCTGGCTCCGTGTGATTTTTGGCTCTTTCCTGAGTTAAGGAAATTTCTGAGAGGCACACGGTTTGATTCTGTAGCCGAGATCAAAACCGCTGTTCAAAAATTCTTCATAACCCTCCCTCAAGAAGACTTCAAAAAGACGATCCTTGTGAAGTGGGCAGAACGGCTGAAGCTTTGTGTTCAAAGCGGTGGAAAACACTTCGAAAAACAGCCGAATTTTGAGTCAGCTGTGTAAACCAACGAAGAAGCTTGGTCCATTTCCGTACGATTTTTTAAGTTTTTTCAATAAATACATTCAATTCTCATTTAATTTTTTTTTCTTGACACTCATATTTGGAGCTAAATATCCTGGAGGCGGTCACGCTACATGTCACTTTCAAAACCCTGATCTATGTCATTTTTTAAGCTAGAAAGCTGTTCTTGGTCTTGTTTTATTGGTAATTATGTCTTCTTTAAGCTCACACACAAACGGCAAATTGTTAGCTGCTTTCGTTTGCATAGAACCTGGTACCTGGAAATGTGCAAAACTTGTTGAACACCTTATATATATTCATTAGGTTCTGAATCAGTGAAAAGTTCATCATAGTTTTCAACGAAAATGCAAACCAAAGTCCTCAAAAAAGAGGACTTGTCAGGGAAACTTCTGTAACACCTCTTCTTGTCTCATAGCTCCCAATTAAATTAAACTTCTGAGTCTAATTTTCAATAGTGACAGTCAACACTTTCTAACCATTCCTTGAAAACCTCTCTCTCTTTTAGATTTTTGCAAGCTTGTAATTGATCTGAAAATAAAAGTGTAATGTCCGAAACAAATGTAATATTTGCATTTCAATTGATAATTCCCATTTTCAGTCTGGGCTCACGCCACTGCATGTAGCAAGTTTCATGGGATGTATGAACATAGCAATCTACTTACTGCAACATGATGCAAATCCAGATGTTCCTACTGTGCGAGGTGAAACTCCTTTACATTTAGCAGCTAGAGCCAACCAAACAGACATAGTCAGGATTCTGTTAAGGAATGGTGCAAGTGTTGATGCACAAGCTAGAGAAGATCAGACTCCCCTTCACGTCGCCTGCCGACTAGGCAATTCTGATATTGTAATGCTGCTCCTTCAACATGGAGCTTCTGTTAATGCAACAACCAAAGATTCCTACACGCCTTTGCATATTGCGGCTAAAGAAGGTCAAGAAGAGGTAAGCTTAACTTTTTTCCTTTTTTTTCATTTTAAAATGAAAAGTTTGATGATCTTGAATGTACGCCGTCATCAGGACGTCTGCTGGCCCGGAAAGTTTAAAATTAGTTCTTAATCTTTAAATGCGGCCAGGAAGTACTGAAAAAGTACGAAAATTCTGCAGGAGATCTGGAATTTTTCACTTCATACCAGACGTGTGTTTTAAGACAACCTGAAAAGTATGCAATCCTTTGCATATTCATTTTGGGTGCAGTATTCGCCTGCTGTAATTGTGAAGCCAGTTGATCTACAGGCCACCAATGAGCTTGGAATTTCGTGATTAAAGCCCTGCATAGACGATCAAATTCCGAACCAATTCCGATCAAAGTAGACATGCTAATGACTGGTGGTCACCATCTACCATCAAATTTTGACTGGCCGCACTTTTTTGTTCAAAGTAAGATCAGAACGGAGTGCCATCATTCATCATTTCCTGCCACAGGAAACATTTCTGCCAAGTTTTCATTTTAAAATGAAGCAAATTAATGAGTTCAAGACTGATGACTCCTGACCCTTTGATGCTACTTTGATCGGAATTGGTTCGGGAATTTGATCGCCTATGGAGGCCTTAAGTCCTCTTTATCACACATAGGTACTGATGAAGTACTAAATTTCCTTAATAAGTATTGAAAAATTAGGTACTCTAGAATTGCTCATTTTTAGCCGGCCAGCTTGAGTAGACACTCTTTGCCAGTTTAATCAGTTGAATTCAGGCAAAGAAGACCCAGAGGCCTGAAAAAAAGTCTAATGTTTTTAAGAGAGATTGTGTTGGGCACATTTTTTTGGGCATTCAAAATAATTTCCAAAAAAGTAAGTTGAGTATTACTTTTGTGGTGAAAGGTTTTAAAAAAGTTTGTTTGATTGTAAGTCAGTCTCATTTAAAGAAAATAGCAATAGAAAATCTGGCAGATATTCAGCTAATTTTTCATCCAATAAGTTTGACTCAATAAGTTCTGAAAAGCAGTAAGAGTAAACTTTAAAATGCGAAGGTTGTTCGGAAAATAAACTCTGTCTTATATTTTCAAAACATTTCATGGTAAATAAATTCCATAAAAAAAAAAAAAAAAAAAAGATTTATCCAACAACAATATGTTGGAAATGTGTGCGGAAGTAGCGTGGAGACATACTATTTTCATGTCATCATTCTCATATTATTTTCATCGTATCATTTGGTACTTTTCGCTAAATTTAAGAGAACTTATTGATTCATAAACGTTTAATAAAAATTAACTTTATTGAAAAAAGAAAATAACATCATTGATTTGGGTGAACCTGTGGCTGATTGTATGAAGGAAGTATATTCCAGTATTTTTATTTAGCTTATTAACTCATGAGAAAATGTTCGCACGTTTTTTATCTAGTATTAATTATTTTCGATTGGTCTAAAACATTCAATACAATCGCTAAAGAAATGATCTCCCTGGCAGGACTTGAACCCCTGCCTCAATGTTGGGTTCTATCGCCAGTCAACAAGCGGTGATCTAGCCGACCCAGCTACCATGGCAGGCTGGGAAGTACGAAAAATTGGACGTATTTCTATCAAGCAGACCTATGTGGAGGTGAGAAATATGGGGTCTGCTCGCTAGTTCTCTGGCCGTAAGAGTGAATGAGAACAATAATGCGCCAGTAACGTCAGCGGCAATGACGAAGCCCGGGGAGAGGGGGAGATCGCCATCCCCGCCGCTGCCATTTAACTCATGAGCCTTGTCCACAACGCTCTTGCCCCATGCCCCCGGCTCATGAACCCCGCATTCAGTTGCCACGTAGGTCTGTTTGATAGAATTTAATATCCCGCTTTTCCAATTCTTCAAAAGGAACAACACCCTCTTTTACATTAGGAGTATTTCAGAGACAGACAGTGGGCAGAGCTTCTCTGGAGTTGACCTCGGCGGCGCGTCAGCAGCTGCCGTGATAACAAAGAAAGGATCAAGCGCATTTCTGTATGAGCCATACATAGCACATGCTTTAAGTGTCTCGGGGTTCATCTCTGCATGCATTCGCTATCACGGCAATTGAGCTGAGGCAATATTTGTTTTCATGCATTAAATCAATTAATCGTTCAGAATGTCGTTCTGATTTTAGCTTCTATAGCCGTAATGGGTCCTCCAGAGCAATTTTCCACCTTGTACAATGGTCATTATTTTTTAGCGGCCTCTTAAGAGCCAACTTTTGTTCAGTCGCTGTTGATCAAACAAGAACATACATCAAAGACGCTCATTGGCTACAAAGTTGCGGCGGGATTTAAGCTTCTATATTTGAGTCATCTGGGGGTAGAAAAGCTTATTTGAGCTTTCTGTCAAATAAAATAATGTGGTTTTTGACGGGAAAATGTTCTCTAGGGTTTCCCCTCGGAAGTCGATTCGGTTTTTTGCTGAATGACCATCACGGCTCATGAGTGTAACGGCTCAAACACGAAAAACGGATCCGACGAAAAAAAATTTGGACGGCCCATTGAATAGCATTGGTTGATCGGAGTGTTGCACTTCACTACACCCGAGTGATTTCCGAGAGATTCCGAGTGAGTTGAGTGATTTCCGCGCGCCCTAATGGCACGCTCAAAATCTGAATGCCATACTCTCAACTCTTTAACGAAGAAAGAAGTTGGATTGTGTTTGCTGAGAAAGTCGTTTTACTGGACAAACCTCCTCTCTGCACTGGTTCAAAAATGAAAATCCTTTGTCCAGGCAAGTATCATAACTTTAAAAACGAATCGACCCTCCTATGAAATATATGTTGAAAAGAGCCTACCTCATTCTATTGGTTTTATTGTTCATCCAAACCCCTCAGGCATCAGTGCTTCATTTCTCTAATGCAAGCTCCTAGATTTTACTTCGAATCCAAAAAGTGACTGCTTTGTTGCTGACCAGATCATCAGTGACCAACTTCCTACCACCGAGTCTTGATTTCAGCTCAAGGAAAAGGTAAAAATTACCAGGGGCTAAATTTAGCCAGTGTGGAGCCTGGGGAAAAGTGTCCCACACAAAATATTGGAACAAATTCTGAGTAGTTGCAGCAGAATATAGAAAACCCCTCTTAAGTAATACATTCATTCAAAAATTCCATTTTTCGACCTGTATAGAGAAAAGGTTGATCTAGTAAAACAGACTTTCCCAGTAAAGTATTGGGCCAATTTTTAATTTTTCAGCTCTTCGAAAATCTGTGTGACAAACACATTCTTTTTTATTGAATTCATTTATCGTTAATATTTTGGAAAAGAAACTGTAGAACTCACTGTTTCTAGAAATTTTCAAATTACTCAATGACTTGATGAATCTTGCTTTCATCAGTGATTAAATGGTGTGTGGTACGGTGTGTGTTTAGGTGGCCTCAGTTTTATTGGAAAACTGTGCGTCTTCGACAGCTACAACAAAAAAAGGACTGACGCCTCTCCATCTAGCCGCTAAATATGGAAGCATAAAAGTAGCTAGACTTCTGCTGCAAAAAGAGGCTGCGATTGATGCTCATGGAAGGGTGGGTTAATGTTGAAATTTTGCTTACTTCATGCACAAATCTTATGTTCAATCATTTTTATTCCAGCCAAATTGCATGCTCTTCTGGAAACCTTTGTTGAAACGATGTTTCATGAATGAAACTGTTCTACTAAAAATATTTATGTACGGGCCGTTAATCTTATTCATCACCTTGGCTGGTCACCATGATTGTTTCTTCGTTGTTGACGTCGAGCCAAAACAGTCATACTAACCAGTGTTTTGTGTGGTGCATTTTCGCATGCGGCTCTGAATTTTTTTGTTTTTGTATGCTACATGCATCTCTTTTTAGTATCTTTGGAGGATTTTCTGTACGATTCAGAAGTATTTGAAGTTATTTATTATATACGATCAGGGGATGGTCTTTCAAGAATTTTTCTTCCTTTTTTTAAAGTGATGTTCAAACACTCAGGAAATCAGGTTTCAGTTTTTAGGGGCCAGTTTTATAATTTATTATGAAGAAAGATATGTTTTTTGGATGAGGGGTGGAGTCCATTTCAGTATTAAGCCCATGTCCAGGCTAAATAGCTTGATTTATATGAAATCTTTGTAATTTTTGCCATATTTTACCTAATTTCGCAAGTATGTCAAAATTAGAGTTTTTATTTTGGGAGACCCTGCTTCTAAGAAACTGAAGAAGTGTAACAATTAATTTGCCAGGGGGTACTTTTGCCACTCCAAGGAGCAAGAATCACGGTGGAAGCTGTGACTTTAATCGTTTTTCCAGCGATTTTCACCAATGTTTTAACTTGGCAAGTCTGCCAAAATTAGGCCTTCAATTTTCAGAGAATATTGTAGCAGATTAAGAGGGTGTACACAGTGGGTTTTAACTAAATCTAATTAAGAAAATGAAAGTCCCCATGTCTGAAAGCGGAAAAGAACAGCGAAACACCTCAGGAAAACATCCCCGCTGAAAAGAAAATCATTCGTTGGGCCGTTTTTTTTTTGCCCCCCCAAGCCAAAAGGCGGCCGATATGCGCCGCCGCGGGGTGCAAATGTTACAACTCCCTCACAATGTCAAGTGGCACATCGATTCCTATGTAATTTTGATTGTAGAATCCGAATATGAGGTCAGAAATCCCTCACAACCAAAAGGGATCGCGCAAATTCAAGATGGCGGCCAAAAATAGGCCCCGGAGTAAAAATTCTCAATTCCAGCTTTTGGTGACGAGTGAGATGTCTTTTTTTATGTTTTTGGGGTCATAGGATCCAAATTTGAGGTCAAAAATTCCCTTCTGCCGACAGGGATCCCTCAAATCCAAAATGGCTTCCATTTTGGGGCTGACATATTATTTCCGAAAGACGCGTGTAGTCGAGTGAGGTGTCTTCTTACATGTTTTTTGGACCACATGATCAGAAACTGGGATCCAAACTGTGTCCCTGTGGGCCGGAAGGTAAGATTTGTCCCTTAGCACCTTGATTGTAACGTTTTTATCAACTATTTAAATAAAAACTCAGAATTTCACTGTTAGAACGGCGCCAACCACACTAAGAATGCTCTATTCCTACAAATAATGTTTGACCTTTTTGTCTAGCAGGGGCTATAGTCCCCTGCTTCACAAAAAAACTAGCGCAAGAGAAATAGGAACAAAACAAAAATAATCTTCTTTGAACAGTGAAACAGTGAAAACAGTGAAATTCTGAGTTTTTATTTAAATAGTTGATAAAAACGTTACAATCAAGGTGCTAAGGGACAAATCTTACCTTCCGGCCCACAGGGACACAGTTTGGCTCCCAGTTTCTGATCATATGGTCCAAAAACATGTAAAAAGACACCTCACTCGACTACACGCGTCTTTCGGAAATAATATGTCAGCCCCAAAATGGAAGCCATTTTGGATTTGAGGGATCCCTGTCGGCAGAAGGGAATTTTTGACCTCAAATTTGGATCCCATGACCCAAAAAACATAAAAAAAGACATCTCTTTCGTCACCAAAAGCTGGAATTGAGAATTTTTACTCCGGGGCCTATTTTTGGCCGCCATCTTGAATTTGCGCGATCCCTTTTGGTTGTGAGGGATTTCTAACCTCATATTCGGATTCTACGATCAAAATTACATAGGAATCGATGTGTCACTTGACATTGTGAGGGAGTTGTAACATTTGCACCCTGCGGCGGCGCATATCGGCCGCCATTTTGGCTTGGGGGGGCAAAAAAAAAACGGCCCAACGAATGATTTTCTTTTCAGCGGGGATGTTTTCCTGAGGTGTTACGCTGTGCTTTTCCGCTTGCAGACATGGGGACTTTCATTTTCTTAATTAGATTTAGTTAAAACCCACTGTGTGTAAGAATTATTTTTTGTGGGGGATGCCTTTTTACAGATCACCACCAATCTATTGGCTGTACATCCTTGATTGCGCCTCTGGCTTCCCCTGGATCTGCCACCACCTGTCATCTCTTAGAATTATTCCTTTATTTTAACTTTTTTTTGTCTTAGAATGGTGTGACTCCTCTGTACGTGGCTAGTCATTATAACAATTCAGATATTGCTTTGCTTCTCCTGGACAAAGGAGCGTCTCCTCATGCAACAGCCAAAAATGGGCACACTCCACTACACATTGCAGCAAAGAAAAGCCAGGTAAATTTACATTAATGGGTTACGAAACAAGTTCTGTACTAGGAAAATACAAAGGCTGTCCTGAAAAAACTGACAGTAAGGCTGTCATTCGGGAACTTTAATAGTTATTGACATGCGGTTTGTTGGGAAGACGTAGCTCATACTCTTAGCTCTTAAACGAGCCTAAGTTGAGCTAGTTTGGTTAAAAACTCAACGAGTTACATCAATTTTCCCAAAACGTGTAAAAAAAAAAACCGCTACAGGATTTTTGATTGCTCACTTGTCAGAGGATGCGGCACCCAAGTTGACGAAACACGTCGCATTTTCAAATTGTCCCGCAAAATTCTGCGAATTAAGCTTTTGGAAATGTCAAGCAGTTCTTGCAAAGTACGAACGGATAAACGCCGGTCCTCTCGAATCACCGCAGCCACCGTACCGATGTTTTCCTCCGTTGCGGAAGTTGACGGCCGGCCCCCCTGCGGAATGAAAGCCGCCGACTCTCGACCTTCGGAAAAGGCTTTGTGCCACCTATAAATGGTGCGTTCACCAATTCGATTTTGTCCGTAAGTCACTGTCATTTCATTTACAGTTTCAGGAGCAGATAATTCACGGCGAACGCAATATCGAATTGCGTATTGTTGCTCTTGTTTCAACTCCGCGAGTGAACTCATGACGATACACAAAAACACGCGTTATCAAGCCGGACGATTTCACTGAACTGACTTTGCAAACAAAAACAAACTTCTCGGTTGTGATGGAAACACTTGCTGACAAGTTCAAACTTGCATCAAGACAAGTGGAAACTTAAAGTTAACGGAATGAAAAATTACCGAAGAATTCTGTAAGGGTTTTTTTTACACGTTTCGGGAAAATTGATGTAACTCGTTGAGTTTTTAACCAAACTAGCTCAACTTAGGCTCGTTTAAGAGCTAAGAGTATGAGCTACCACCTCCCTCAAACCGCGTGTCGATATCTATTAAAGTTTCTTAATTACAGCCTTACTGTCAGTTGTTTTGGGACAGCCTTTGTAAGTCACATGTTTTGTCTTCAAATTCTTACTTTGAAAACTATTTCCGTAAGAGGAAAGTCAGACATCAACTCCTTCATATAGGATTTATTAACAAGTACTTTTAAAACAGATCAAACAGAAGTTACTTTATTCAAATGATGTCATTTGTACAAGCGGGATTGTCGTTCCTGTTCCTCGTAAATACACTTTAGTGCACCGCTATAGTGGCCACAGAATAATAGCTCTCGCATCAACTCTAGACTCACAACTTATCAGCAATTGGGAATCTTATGTTTATTTTCTCGCTCTTTTCCTCTTCCTCTACTTTCACGGTTGGTTCTGTCACTGATAACTGCACGCCTTTGAGGCTTACCTCAAGTTCCATATCTTTTTCCCATTCTTCACCACACCATATTAGTATTGTGAAATGTGATGTGTGAGCCACAATGTGAACACATTGAATGAAAAATGGGTCCCTTTAAAATAAAAGTTAGGTCCATGCCTAAGCGCCTTCAGCAGGTCTTCAACGGCCAAAGCCGAGCTATCAAATATTAATAGCATACAGGGTTTTCCAAAAGTCTGTATCCCCCCCCCCCTCCGGTAACTTTTGAACGGTTAGAGATAGACAAACGAAACTTTGGGTTTGTTTCTATCTCAAAGGGGGCCATCTTCTAGGGGGGTCAGAGTGTTTGTCCCTCCCTCAGGGGGGACTGGAGTGCCCCCAACTTTTTTTTTCAAATGGTAACCCCTATCTTGTTATACATCATTTGAAAGAACATTAAAAACTAAGAATTTTGGCGCAAACCGCAGATCAATATCTTAATTTTTGACCGATCAAAAGTCAAATTTAACCAATTCTCTGAAAATCATAACTTTCGTTCAAATTATCGTATAATAAAAATAAAACGGGAAAATTTAGAAAATTGTAAGCTTTTTTAAGTAAAAATCACAGAAATTACCTCAAACTAATTTTAAGGGGGGGTTCGGACCCCCAAATACGCCAGTTAAAAGGTCATACAATTTTCCTGCAAAATGAGCCAATTTTCCCTAACTTTGCCTCAACGTATCTCAGTAAGTTCAAAATTAGTTCAACATTGTGTTTTCAAGTTCCCAAATTTCGAGCAGAAGTTTAAAAAAAAAACGATAATTAAGGTGATGAAATTTGATCGTCATTTCGTTTTTTTAAACTTCTGCTCGAAATTTGGAAATTTGAAAACACAATGTTGAACTAATCTTGAACTTACTGAGATATTTTGAGGCAAAGTTAGGGAAAATTGGCTCATTTTGCAGGAAAATTGTATGACCTTTTAACTGGCGTATTTGGGGGTCCGAGCCCCCCCCCCCCTTAAAATTAGTTTGAGGTGATTTCTGTGATTTTTACTTAAAAGTGCTTACAATTTGCTAAATTTTCCCATTTTATTTTTTTCTCCACGATAATTTGAATGGGAGTTATGATTTTTTGAAAATTGGTCAAAGTTGACTTCTGATCTATCATAACTTGGTCAAAAATTAAAATATTGCTCTGCGGTTTGCACCAAAATTCTTAGTTTTTAATGTTCTTTCCAATGATGTATCACAAGAGAGGGGTTACCAATTGAAAAAAATAGTTGGGGGCACCCCCGTCCCCCTGAGGGAGGGGCAAACATTTTGACCCCCCAAGAAGATGGCCCCCTTTGAGGTAGAAACATGCTGATGATTTAACAAGCAAGGCTGCATAAGTCGTCTAATATTTTAAAAACTTGGCATTTTTCAAATGAAACTGAACTCTGAATCAAAGTACTTGTTGATATGTAGCTCTGAACTCTATTTCAGATGGATATAGCAACAACTTTACTGGAATATAATGCAAGTCCTAATGCGGAATCAAAAGCTGGTTTCACCCCCTTGCATTTGGCAGCGCAAGAGGGTCATTCTGACATGGCCTCATTGCTGATTGAGCACAAAGCAGATCCTAATCATCATGCTAAGGTATATATATATATATATATATATATGTTTGACTAAATACATACTGTTTAAGTATCATCAAGACGAGATCTATTTTCAACAGCTCTTGATGCTGGGCAGAGTTGCTATTGATTTTTTCCCCTATTTAATGCAGGAAAAACGAGAATAAAAGGGTATTGCAAACTTACAGAAGTTCAAATGTATAATCTTCAAGGCTCTTTGGATAGACTTTGCAGCAAATAGAGTCAAAAGTATTCCTGGCCTCGTGGATGAATAAAAATATCGTGATTTCAATGTGTTAAAAATTGCATTCTCACCTCTCTAGTCTGACGTCTGTAGTCCGTCAAGTTTGAAGACTATAGATTAGGCTTATTCAGTAAAGATTTTGTATGTATTTATTTCAAATTTGTTTCATTGCACTCTTAAATTAATTTTTATTTTCTTTTGTTCGTTGCAGAACGGGTTGACACCATTGCATTTGTGTGCTCAAGAGGACAAAGTTACTGTTGCTCATATTTTGATAAAGAATGATTCTAAAGTAGATTCTGTAACAAAGGTACATCATTTTTCATTCCTGGTGATTACCCTTAAGCTTAAAGCTATGCCATCTCTCAATTAATGCATAAAAACTTGTCACCAACAACGCGAACAAAAATTGTCAGAGTTCGATTAATTTCTTTGCAACTGCACAATAAATGAGTGTATCTTCAGCCGTGAATTACATGAAATAGCTACAAATACTCATTTTTACACTCCTTCACAGTGCTGGTGCAGGCTCTTGATTGCCATTGTGTCTTCATAAGAATATCTTCACTTTCAGATTTTTCACCATCAGATTTTTCAGCATTAAGTTTTATCAGAAATTTCCATTTTCAACCATCAATCGTATTTATAGACCACTAGACAAGTTACAAATGTTAGCAGTATGATTTGTGTTTTCTCATCAAAATTTCACCAAAAACACAATTTGTGGGAAGCAAATTATTGGAAGTAACTCCTAACCAAGATGATGATGTTTCTCGATGCATGAAATCGAACATCCTGCCTTTGAAAAAACCAATCAACTGCTTAAGATAAATCTCACACTGAATGGTACAATAACAGTATCGTGGTATGAAAACATTACAACCTCAATCTCGGCGCTTTGGCTCAACTGTCAATCAGTTATTTACATTTGGAACCAGACAGGGCAGGGAGGGAATCTTGCTAGATTTGAAGGCCTGCCCCAACCATTGTAGCTTGTGATTTGATTTTCGTAGCCTCCAGTTTTTCCTTTAAGTGGGAAATTAAATATTTTGTAATCTGTCATAAATAAAAACACTGATATCTTGGTTATGAGTTGATTACAGCAACTTCCATTGCCCAAATCGAGTGCTATGCAACATTTTGAATAGGATACTTGTATCAGAATGCTTAAATTCATACCTTGTCTATTCATCCATTTTTTCATAAATAGAAATAAATTTTAAAAAATGTAATATTTGTTGCCTCTTCATGATGGCTTCAGAACTCCCACCCAAAAGTTACAATCAATACAAGAGAATAAAGTGTTCAGCAGCCAAGAGAACTTAATGACACTTATCTTGATCCGATACTGTTGTTGAATGAAGTCATTTAAAAATGGTGACTTTTTTCTACCCTCTGATTCGCCTCAAATTTGTGCATGCGCTCCAGTAGATGACACCCCTTTTACTGAAGGTTTCATCATTAGGATGAATTCCCCTTTTAAAAGTGTGGCAGCATTGCCAGGTTGAAACCTCAAAACAGCCATGGATCCGCAACAAACTAAGATTTCTAGTTGTGATGTACCTCAAAAGAGCCTAAGAATGTGTTTTGTAAGTTATTGTCTAATTTGTGGGTGCTCAATAAATTCAAACTTGCCGTGTTGGCATTTTCCAAACTTGCAAATATTCAGAAAACCTATGCTTTATGTGTAGGGAAATGTGTCAAAAGAATTTTTTGATCGATTCTGTATCCACTAATGTATTGCACATCACATTAAAATGATCAGATTGCAATTAGATTTAATCCTCACTTCCAAGCACCAATTTCCTGTACCAAGCAATTTCTGACTGGATTATACTTCATCATGATCCGAGTATTTTCTGACTGCAGCCAACATTTGCTAGTCTCTTAATCTGATAATGAAAAGACTTTGAGAGGGGAAGGAAGTAGCAAGCGCTGTCTCCACTTGTCAAAATGGAAGCTCAAAATGGCTCAACGTTGAGACTTGATGCGATTGATGAGTGTTGCAACTCAAAATAGAGCTGCGCAACTCTATTTTGTTCAACAGCCATTGCAACCAGAAAATGATGGAAAGCATAACCCTCGCAGCTCTTTTTCTTCTTTGCTACGTGACTCGTGCGTGCATAAGGCGACCAGAACTTCATAATTTTCCATTTTTATTTTGTTTTCACTTTCACTGCTCCTGCACTAAAGATTTATATTGGTTTGAGGTTATGTGCACTCCAAGCACAACAATGCTGCTGGACCAATCAGGAGCTAGCTCTGGCGATTTTTCAGTAGCGTAGTGGATGGAGCGGCTCAAATTTGACGGACCAGTTTCGGATGTATCGTTTATATCGATTCATTTTGATCCTCCATTTTGACCAGTGGACGCAGGGCTATTGGTCTGCTGAGAGTGATCTTGGCAAAGATGAGAGTGGGAAGAGTGGCTACAGTAGCGATGTCAGTAAAGGAAACAAAAAGAGTGTTGCGATGAAATTTTCTCAAATTAGATATTTTTGTTTTCGCAAGTTTCTCAAATTTTCAGATTCCCAAAAAGTTTGGGAGGGCGTTAGGGGGAGTGACAGGTCATAACCTGTAAATCTGAGTATCTGCCCAACAAAAAAAATATGCAAGTTCTGTTTTTACTGAAAATTGTTTAAAATAGCACGAACTAAGATATTTGAGGTTTAAATTGAAAGGTGTCATTTTTAAATCCCATTACGTGCATTTTTTAGTTTTTGAAATAAAGACATTCCTTCTTCAAACCAAGAAAACACAAAGATCGCAAACATTGGTCTGAACCAAAACCTGTCATAGCATTTTGAAAGTTTCCATTTGGCAACTCTGCCAAGCCAAAAAGATTTTTGCAGAGACTGGCAAATCATGCTAGGAAATAAAATTTATAGGCATAAAGAAAAGCCAAGGAAAGGTGAAATTCTCTGTTATTTAATTCACCCTTTTAACTGACGCGCATCTCGATTGCAGTGTTCCCATATCCTGCTTCATATTTCAAAAGAATAAATCCACTTATTACTACTTACTTACTACTTATTACTACTTAATTTAATATACTTCATTTGCAGTTACAAATTACAGAAATCCAAGTTATGATACCATTTAATTTTCCTCTCTGAAAACGGAGTTTGACCCGAGATTCTCAACGTTGCAAATTGAAATAGATACTGCTTTCTAGTTTCATCTTCAGTTTACTTTTCTGGTTTTATAATGGTCAGCAAGTCACTTTTGTTTTGATCCTTTATCTGCAGACCGGCTTTACACCTCTTCACATAGCTTGTCATTATGGCCAAATAAACATGGTTCGTCTGCTCTTGAACAACAATGCTAGCGTTTCCAAGACAACTCAATCAGGATACACACCATTGCACCAAGCAGCTCAGCAAGGCCATTATCTCATCATCAATCTTTTACTTGAACATAAGGCAAAACCAAACTCAGTCACAAATGTGAGTAGAGTATTCTTATTTCTGTGAATCAGAAGTTCCCATTTTTATGCACAAATCAAACACTTCCACCGAAAATATTTGTGCACCAAATTCTTTTGACACCCTAACAATAACCAAATAGTTACTAATAACTAACAGTTTTAAAGTTGAGGAGGAAACGAAAACTTGACACTCAAGCATGATTAGCATTTCTCAGTAAATATAATAGATACTTACTTAAGGCTGGATGCCATAACTTTAATTGTATTTTTTAAAATCAGTGGACGGTTCGTTTAGTAAGTGCATTCATATTTTTATGGAATACAAATTAATGGCTAAGGAATAATTATAAAATACGCAAGCTAATGTTTTTAGTTATTTCAATTCCACATGAGAGAGCTGTAATGCTGTTGTAATGTATAGAAAAAATAGCAAATCTGACCTCAAAATTACAGAAGTGATGAAGTTTTTCCTTAGTCCTGTAAAATCAGTTTGCAGATAGGCGGTATTGGTCCTTCGCCATCGGAATGTTGAAGATACCATAAGGTAATTGAAGCATTCCAACAGTTGTACTGTATATCTTAGTATTTACCTCTCATTCTATTGGGCTTTGTCCATGAAGAAATAACGCTAGCGCCAGCCAAGAGAGATCCAGTGGAAGGGAGTCAGGCTGGCATGGCAGCAGGGAGCATTTTGCTGTTAACTGCAATCAGTTCAGTAGCTTGCTCTCAAGAGCTCAGATTATTGCACGCCGCTGTTTCCCTTTGCGTTGTTGTAGACTCTAGCTTCCATCCTCAGTTTCCTTTTATTCCCCTCATAGTTAGCTTGCTCCCTCTGTTTCTCAATATTAATATTGTTTGGCAGAAAATTTTTCTTTGAAACATCTTTTTGTTATTCAATTAAAATTATTTGCTCAGTAGTCGCTGGCGGCGAAGCGGGCCTTTGAGGGCTCGGAGCCCTGAAATGTAAAGTAAAATGAGTCTAAGTTAAAGACACTGTCAAAGGCAAAAAAGAATCTAAATGATGCGATATGTAGCAGACAAGTATGAAATAAGCAATAAAGAAGACAAAGCTTCCCAACTTTTTTCCTGACTTGCCAGAAAGCTGACTTCTTAAGAGATTGAAAGCAACCTTTTGCCATGAGATATCTTATTTATACCAGAATGGACACAATAGGAGGCAAAATTTACAACGAGCAATCCTCTTGTCTCCAGTGCTAGTACTCCAATGACCCAATGCTCTCAGCTTTCTCTTATGTTTCGTAGGAAATCCATAAGTCACAAGTGAAAATTCCAAAAGTTAGTGGAATTCTTTCTCTTTTTTATATGTAAGTAAACCAAAGAGACCAGTTCTTCTAAGACTGTTTCATACTGCCAGAAAAATGTAAGTATTCAAGAAGATAATAAATTTCGTTTACTGCAGTCTGTACACAATATACAGTAGACCTCCGATCATCTGAATTAATGTGGCGATCGGCCAGTTCTGGTAACAGAAAGTTCGAATAATCCAGAGTCTGTCACTACTTTTTGTAAAATGAAGGAAAAGTCAATGAAATGAATGCAAATTACTTTAATTTTATACCTCAAATATAAATCAATATACACATATTTAGTACACTTATATACAAGTTTGTTCGATATTTACCTATTTAAAATAATCCTTTACTTTCTATCTAAGATGTGACATCTTCCTTCATGACCGCCAAAGGAATATGTTTTAACAAACGAGTATGGATAATCCTAGGTTTACTGCAGTCAAGAACTTTGCATATGGTTTACGTTTCTTGATCTTACCGATTAATTTATCTTCGGTCTTTCTCTACAGTATGGACAAACAGCATTGAGCATAGCACAAAAATTAGGATATGTCAGCATAGTTGAAACTCTAAAAATCGTGACAGAAACCACCATCACAACCACAACTACTACCACAACAGAGGAGAAGTATAAAGTTATTACACCAGAAGCCATGCAAGAAACTCTTATGTCTGACTCAGAAGATGAAGGAGGTGAGTTCTTTCGAAATTTGTCTTCAGATCTGCACGCACTGATTTTCTGTTTTTTTCACCTTCATTCGTCTTTTTTTTTGCCAATGAGTTTCAAAATCATACTTATTTCATTCTTAGTCCTGTGATTTTTTTCTCTCTTTTTGGTTATTTTGGTTTCCTAAATAGTTTGATGATACATTGTTTTTATTCTTTGGTTTTGTTGAATTCATTCGTTATTTCTTCCATAAGGATCTCTTTGTCATTATGTCTCCTGCTGTATGGGAAAAGTGAGCTTGTTCAAATTGGCCCCTCCAAATTCCTGAAAGGAGCTCCAGAACTTGGTCCAGAAGGCCCGAATGAAGAAGGTCCCCCCCGACATTCCATTTTGGACCATAATTTTGCTGTAATTTAGCTACTGCATGGCTCTGTTGAAAGGAAGTTCTATGAAAAGTGAATAGTTTTCTCCAATCTCTTCGGCATCTTCAAGAAGGGTATACTATGTCTTAAGCCAAAACTCGAAATGTGTTGTTCCAGCTCCTCAAAAGATAAATCGACCTAGAGATTTTTTTTCTCGAAAAAATCACGAAATCAGTCTAATTTGTTACAAAAAAAACCGATTGTCAAACAGAAATAAATTTTACATTATTACACAAAACAAAGAATATCCCTGAAATAATAGCACAATAGAATGAACAACTTAAAAAAAATCATTTCAAATCTTCATTTATTTTACACGTTTTTCCTGATGAAGTATTGAAAGTGCAAAAAAAAAAAAAAATAATAATAAAAAACTAAAAAAAAAACTCAATGGACAGCCTTTTCATATTTTCTTAAAGACTCTAGCTTTCTATTTTTTATTGACCTCGCACTTATTATGACACATTTTTGTAGCCAAAAACACGATAATTACATTTGGTAACTTGGAAAAGCTTTGATGTAAAAGGCCAAATTTGGCAACCATGCATTTTCACTGAGACAGGTGTGATTCATAATGTGTCACAGGAGACACAGGACTCTCGGGTAATGTTCAGAGTGACTAGAATCTCCCCAAAAATGACAGGGGAAAAATTAAAAGATGCCTCCCTGCAAAAAAAGTGTAGCCAAAATACAAGGTTTCGTCTCTGACATAGATTTGTATTTTTAAATCAAGATTTTTTAACGCTACAAAAAAAATCCAAGACACCATTCGAAAGCTGACGATTTCAGCTTTCTAACCACATGTTGATTTTTTACTTTGCTGCATTTGAGCGGCGAGAAATCGACTTTGACTGGAGTCACCTGTATTTCTCCGTTTTTGGACATGGTTTCAAAAAATTCCTTTGTGCCGGCGTTAAGTTGTTCAAAATTCCAAAATTATTATACCAATAGAAAGCTGAGAGTGATCTTTTTAATGGTGTACTTGCTTTTTTTAACGTCAAAAATAGCCGAGATAAATGCAAGGGAACGGGCCGTCCGAGTTAGTGGAAAATTCCTTGATATGATTGCAGTAAAATGTAGTTTATAGGCGGCTGGCAGCCGGTTTCTCCAAATTACAAAAAACTATAGACAGTTAGGAAGCTGAAAGCAAGAGTTTTTAACGGTATAATTGAATTTTAGTTTGCGATAAGATTTGTCCCTGAAAAAAATGGAAATCTCTTCGATTTCGTGATTTCTTTGAGAAAAAAACCTATTAGTCGGTTTATTTTTTGAGAAGCTGGAACAGCACATTTCGATTTTTGGCTTAAAACATAGTATACCCTACTTTAAGATGCCAAAGAGATCGGAGACAACCATTCACTTTTCATATAACTTCCCTTCAATGAAGCCGTGACTGGTAAGGGTGAACTCAGTTGACTTAACTAAATTTTTTACATGAAGAAGGTCTGGACTGAGTCTGCCAACCTCAACTATATTTTGGCTAGATTTCTCAATTTATTATAACACTCTTGGTTACTGAGAGAAATAAGCTTGATCCATTTGAATGCATTGTTCATATGACGCAGATCTGATCTTTTCGATGAAAAAAACTCTAAGGCTGGTTGCTAAACCTCAAAAAAGGGGGATTTTGGCCACCCAAGTCTTAGCGTTGGGCGAAGATCACCAATTGCTCACTGTAGCTAAATTGCTGTACCTCGAATTTTCGATTTTTAGACCCTAGGCTGTGACAATTGTTGAATTCCTTAAAGGTGAAATAATCAAATTTTCTTAATTTAGACTTTTAAGCTTTAACTCAATAACAGATTCATGCCAAAAAATCATCTTAAATGCAGTAATGATTCTTCAAATTTGGCTTCATAGGCATGCTCGAATCTCCCCTCATCGACTACCGTAAAATGAGATTCTTTGGATCAGACATAAATAAGTATAATTACGGATAACTCGTGGCCTGATGCTGGTTAGAGGACACTGACAATCTTGTGACTTGTAACAAACAAGGTCTATACATGCCACGTTTACGTTACTTTAAAAATCATAACTCCACTCCAAATCATTTCTGTGATACAAACTTGAGCTTGCATTGAAGCTTAGACAGACTTTTACCATGATAATTTGTTTTTGTTCTTTTTCTTGTTTTTACACAGTGTGTTAAAAAAGTCCCCTTCTTCCTCCTCTAACTTTTTACCTGATCGAGGCAGAGATTTGAAACTTGGAGGACGTTTGAGATCACAGGGAGCTACGTTTTGACTCCCCTAAAATTTTCAGGAGGCTCCCCTTGAGGGGGTAATGGACCCTGACTTTTTATTTTCAATAGGGAAGACCCTTTTTGTGGTACCTCGTCCAAAAGAGCATAAAAAAAGAAAACTTTTTGCGCAAACCCGAAGTCAATATCTCAAACCGTTTCAAAATGACGGCAGTCCAAATTTCAAAATGGCCGAAAATTGGCACCCAAGTTTTTTGTTGATGGATTTGCCTGAAACTGGGTATCGAGGAGGGAGGGGGTGTATGTTAACGCAAGAAAAACTAATTTGACGTTAGATTTTTAAGAAACCAACATTTTAAAAATGGCTGCCGGTAAAGCTCAAAATGGCCAAAATTTTTTTTTTTTTTTTTAGTGTTCTGATTTCATACTTGTTAATCTCATGCCCAAATATCTCTAGGTTCAAGTTTTGAGCAGATCCATAGGCAAATAATCGAGATGCCAATTCGTGGCCATATTGAACTTTAACCGGCCGCCATTTTGAAAATGTTGTTTTTTTAAAAACTAACATCTAATTCGTTTTTCTCGTGTTGAAACTCCTCTGGTACCGAGTTTGAGGCAAATTCATTGACAAAAAAACCTAGGTACCAATTTTCAGCTGTTTTCAACTTTAAGCTACCCTCTTCAAACGGTTTGAAATATTGACCTTTGGTTTGTACAAAAAGTTGTATTTTTTATGCTCTTTCGAAGGAGGTATCACATAAGGGGTCCTCCCATTTGAAAATAAAACGTTGGGATCCGTTACCCCTCCCCCCCCATTGAAAATTTTAGGGGGGTCAAAAAGTAGTTCCCTTTAACCTAAGAACGCCCCCCAAGTTTCAAATCTCTACCTCAACTAGGTAAAAAGTTAGACTGGGTAGGGGACTTTTTTAACACCCTGCATGAATGCTGCAGGCCAAAATCTAATAAAATTGATGATTTGAGCTCCAACAATGGGGCTAAAATTTCAAAATGGATCAGTCTTACCAATGTTAAATGAAATATCAGAATAGATCAATCTTTTTATGATAAATGATGCCCTCTCCTGAATTTGCAAATTTTGTCTATAGTTTTTTACGAAAAATCATTTTGGATTTACATAGGCTGTCCCAAAAGAACTGATACTGGTGCTGTAACTTTTGAACTTGGCGCTAGAGAGCTATTTTTGATCGCCTTAAAAGAATAACTCATTTTCTACAGATCATCGCGAAGTTTATTTGATTCACTCAAAAATTTGCAAAGTTATGAAGCTTTGAACAAAAATAAACTTTCTATCCTTCACCAGTTTTTTTCCTGGGGAAGTCTCTTCAAACGCTATTTTTAAGGCTGTGCGAATATTCACAATTCCGACTATTCACGCCGCGAATAGTCGCAATATTCGTACTATTCTTCCTCGCGCAATTTTTGAGGAGAACATTTTGAGAGGGTTTTTTGGCCCCACTTTGACGGGAAATCGGATAAAATCCTTTCAGCTTGATATCTCCCAGAAAAAATCAGGATATCAAGCTCAAGTTCGCACCAAAAAAAATTAACAAGTGCTTATTTTCAAAACACATCAATTTACCGAGAGAGAAACTAGTTCAACGTTGCTGTGTTGCCATTTTTCGTTATTTTTCATTACGGGTTTTTAAACCTTAAAGAAAGTAATTTTTTTTTTTTTTTTTTTTTTTTTTTTTTTTATTGAAATACAAGCAATTTAATCATTCTAATTTTATTTCTCATTACTTTTACGTTTTACTTCCTGGTAGCTTCATTGCTACTGGTAAGCACTATTTATTTTTGATTTTTCAAATTTTTAAATCCTTTTTTTGGTGGCGAATATTGCATTTTGAAATACTGCTCATTTTTAACCCTTTTTTCCACTTTCATGGAGTGGCAAAAAAAAGCATTGACAGTACTTGAACTTTTGTGCTCGTGGATATATTCAGTAGTATGTGTGCTTTCAGAAAATCAACGGTTCATCTGTCCGATGTTGCCCGTTCGGATGGAAATCATGATTTTACAGGAAAATTTGGCCATTTTTCAGGTGTTTTAGGCTTTTATTCGACTTTGATTCAGAGTTCACAAATTAACCTTCAATTTTCAAGACATTTGGCACTGACACAAATAGATAATACTAAGAATGGTGTGAAGAAATGGTAAAATTCATTTTTAAGTATCACATGATGCCAGCTTGCTCTAAAAAATAGCACATTTCTGTAATATTTGTATCCATGCATATGTATGCATATATATGAACTAACTCTGATAACATAAACCTAGTTTCCAAAAAATATTGATATGAATATATTAAATTGCATGTAAAATAGGGGAAATTTGAAATTGAAGTAGCTCAGTGTTGCCAAATTTCATGAAAACTTCCATTTTCGCAAGGCTCGTGCAACACTGAGCTACTTCAATTTCAAATTTCCCCTATTTTACATGCCATTTAATATATTCATATCAATATTTTTTGGAAACTCAAATCATGATTTCCGTCCGAACGGGCAACATCCGGCAGATGAACTGTTGATTTTCTGAAAGTACACATACTACTGAATACATCCACGTCCACAAAAGTTCAAGTACTGTCAATGCTTTTTTTTGCCACTCCATGAAAGTGGGAAAAAGGGTTAAAAATGAGGAGTATTTCAAAATGCAGTATTCGCCACCAAAAAAAAAGGATTTAAAAATTTGAAAAATCAAAAATAAATGCTGCCAGGAAGGATAGAATGGCACTGAGACCTGTTGATCAGAATGCTCCTCATTGTTGTCATCTGCAATCAGCTTTTAATCAGGAGCTCTGAACTGGCTGAAAACGACCACCTGTGTGGGCACTAGGTATCGATAAAAATCTATATTTTTGCTGACAATAGTGTTGCCAGATATACCACTTAACGTTCACCACATAATGTTCAGAAAATTTCGACTTTTATTTTTAGGGGGATTTTTGTCACCATTCAACGCATTGTGCGCCGTCGCGAATAGTGAATTTTTGAACTGACATTTTCAAATATTCGCGCCGTAACGAGGAACGAATCTTTAAATATTCGCGCCATCAAATGTAAGGAATTTCCGAGTGGAAATCGTGAAACGTTGCGAGAACCTGCGCAAGGCTTCCCCTTCCATCCATGACATCGCAAACGGCGGATCTCCTTTGAGCTTTACCGACTTTTCCACATTTAATCTGCCGACAGGGCTGTAAACATGCTTTCCTGGACTGTACCCAATACTAGGGAAATTTGAAGAATTTTTCTCATGCCTTATGAATTGATTCTTGAGTAAAAAAAGCTAAAAAAAACTCAAATATGGAATCAGGACTTTGTTGTCATTCACCATTGTTCTGAAAATATTGAGTATAATCGAGTAAAATAGTATTTTTGGAATTTTTAATGTTTTCACGACTGTTACACCCTGTCTAACAGGCAAAAATATAGAGGCCACTTTTGAACTCAGCGGCTTGAAGTACATCGGAAGGGACGTATCTTGTACTCTAAAAAAATTTTACGGTCACATAATGCGGGGGGCAGTAGTCCCAAAAATGGCAAAAAGTGCACAATTTCTGGGAAAATCGGCATTTCCGGAAAATTGGAGAGTGATAGGAAAAAATAGAGGTCATTTCAGAATTCAGCGCCTTAAAATAAATAAGGATCACCTTATCTCGTATCGAGGATACTTGCATCTTTTTGTTTGCTCCACTGTGATATCCTACAGTACTGTGATGAACTTTATGAATGAAATGAAATTGCTGTCACGGGTCTAATTTTGGTCACGCAGAGATGATGATGGTGTCAAATTAATCGACCTAGGGGTACTTTTTCGGATCCGTCCAATGAGGCAAAGCTTTGATTTCAGTTTCTTCAAGCTTCTCAGAACAAAATGATCTTAACGAATCTAGTAGCAACCGAATTACACGGCAGTGAAGGGCGCCAACGATCCCATACGGATCACGCGCCGTGTGACGCACACCGTCCCGTTTCACTTAAAATTGGTCTCGTGGGTTTGTTTTTCATCGCACAAATTTGGTTTTGGTCTCAAATTAAACCTAAATCAAGCCTACGTCCACTTTTAATAGCGAAACACTCATATTTATTCGCCCAGTAGGCATTATCTAACTACAAAATTTGTGTTTCTTGGAAAATTTTGAAAAATTATCATGTTAACGGCAATATTGTTTAAGGAGCTAGGTTTCCATGAGTATAACTGGTTATAAAAGATAATTAATCATATTTGATCGCACAGCACCGAGATACAGCGCATTGAAGGGTCGCGTCAGCCGTCTAGAGCGCCGAAGAGGGTCCCATGGCGCGAAGCGCGTAACACTTAAATTGCTCTCACGCGCTTATTTATTATCGCACAAAAATCGTTTTGGTGTCAAATTAAAGGTCAGGCAATTCTACGGCTCCGTCAGAGGAGGCAAAATATCCATTTTCTAGCCTGTCAATAAGTTACTTGACCTTGAAATTTCCAAAAATTTAAACAATTTTAGTTCTTCCCAATTTAAAAAAAATTTAAGACTAACAGGAAAATAGAGAAGAAATAAAATTGTTTTCCTGGAAATTATCTTTCATTTAAAAGAAATTTGATCAAAAACGGATCAATAGCAACCGATGGACAGCTCTTTGAAAAAAACCAAAATGGCAGACTTTAACGGCCGCCATCTTGCTCCAGTCGCGGGTCTCACAATCAGAGTGTTTCCCCTTCCAGAATTACTCCTGAGGGCACCACCAATGAGCCCTGAAAGCGGCATGTTTCAATCAAAAAGTGCAGGGTTTTTGCCATTTTTGGGTCTTAGTCAACGGACTAGTGTGTCAAAACACCTACAATAGACCATGATAAACCTCTGTGATAAACAAATGCTTCAAACCTTTTTTTTCAAACCTTCATAACTTTACGAACTTTTGAGTGAAGAAAGTAAAAGGTGACAAGCCGTAGGAACTGAGTTGTTCTTTCAAATACAACTAAAATCAGCTAACGAGCTGTCTTAGTTGGGAAATCACCGCACACAGTGTCAGTTCTTTCGCGGAAGCCTATGTATGTTGCTTTAATGATCTCAGTTTTACCCTTTTCCCCATCTTATGTAATTTCAAAAATTGCAGGGGATCGCAATCATGTAGTGTTTCTCTGTCACCTCTAATATTATGTAGATATGAAAAATTCAAAAACAATCATTCACAACTATTTCAACCTTACTCCAAAAATCCCTAAAAAAAAATCAAAGAATCACCTTGTAACTTGTATGGCCACACCTCAAAATTCTAGGGTTTGTTGCTCCTCATTCCGTACATGCCACCTAGAACAAGATTAAAAAAGATTCAGGATTGCAAGATAACAAAAAAAATTAAAAATTAAAGATACTATGTAGATAGGTCTAACTAAACATTTTTAAATCATAGGGTATCATCCTTGCTGTAAACCACTCGAAAAGGTCCAAATAGTTATTCAAATAATCTCAAACCGACAAATTTCTTAATTGAAACTGATGGAATTAAGTCTTGTAAAATGGAAAAATCTGATCAGAGTTACCTTTGTCAGAAGTATCAGCTCTGTCGTTGAGTTTACAATCAAGACATATTTAAAACTTGAGACACAGGAGTGAATAATTATTTCATCTTCTAGATCCTCCCATTTGAGTTATCTCTTTAAAAAACAGAAATAATAAATAAATAAATCAGAATTTGCGAAGTATGTATTTCCATTTCTCTCAAATCTATTTCCTGAAGGAAAATTGCGTGCTTAGAATCTTGGATTTGTTAATTTGTGACACTGTGAAAGAGCGTTCCTACATACTTGAGTCCAGTAAGTGACATTCTATCAGTTGAACTAAATTAATTTTCACATCTTGGTAAGTGTGTGCAAATATTTAAAAAAAAGATTATGGACCTACAGGTGTTGATGAGACCATTGCTATGAATGTCTATGGCAGACCCACTCATGTGCAGCATATCTACCTACCCTATTATCAAGGTCAAATGCTCTATACTCGTAAGTTATGGCTAGCTTGTCGCCTCTTGCATCATCGCTTTCATGCTCTCGTAACTGTTCTTACCATATAGTCATCAGCTGAAATTTTGCACGGTACTTTTAATTTTTAATCAACATAACTACAGCTGTATCTTCCGTGGATGAGACTATTGAAATCAATATACTCATCTCTCTAGATGTAGTTCAAAGTCGTCAACATAAGAAATACCTTCATGTAATCACTGGTTGGTGATGATTCTAATATTTTTCTTCCTTGTATGACTGAAAAATATTTTGCATGGGAGATAATTTGTTTTTGGTCCAGTGAGCATCATATTTTTTTTCCTGTGTTTGCGTTGATACAGCAGGCTCACTGACCGTTTCGATCTGCCTGAACAAAAGTAGTACATATTTGGATTTTTTCAAACTCTAATCAGTATGTAAAAAATGAACTGTTACCTAAATCTGCATTAAGTTACTGTCTTTAATGAGCTGTGCTGGTCTCAGGCACTATTAAATATCTCTAAGTTATGAAGTGGCGATGATCAAACATTTTCAATTAACTATCCATCAATCGCATTATGTCCTCAGAAGAAGCTTCTCTAGCCTGTCTGGTGGACCATTGTGTGATCATTGTGTCAAACTCTAGGACTCGATTTTTAGTGTATTTTCCGAAGGAAAAATATTAGTGTATTCTCCGAAGGAAAAATACACTATTGCGTTCTCTCTCATGGTGAGACCTAGACCTGGGACCATGTAAAGAGCACCGATCTCGAGTCGTAGATCACGAATATATATGTCATTCATTTTCTGTCATATATGTATGTATGTATATATGATTGGTTGGTTGGTAGATACGTTTATTTGGTGCTTTTAAAAATTGAACCATTAACACCTAGAGGAGAGATCAAAATATAGTATGTACGTGTGTATGTATATATGTATGTATTTCAGCCAGCGTGAGGATTTTTCAGTTTTCAGAGCTTTGAGCGGCAGTTATTTTTTAAGTTTCTTGAAACGAAACTTCTGGGGTTTATAGTCCCCTAAGAGTACTTTTAAACTGTTAACAAAAAATTGGAATACGTTAATTACTTTTCGCACAGGGAGGAGTCAAAGTAGGGGGGGAGGTTTAATTTTGTCCACGCGATAACTCTAGTAAAAATGAATATTTTGAGCCGAAATTTTAATAGTAGTTAGAGATCTACTAAGACTGGCTTCCTATCGAATTTCAGCGAAATCGGCCAACGCGTTCCATAATAGTGGCAATTTACCGTTTTTACGGGTGGGGGGGGGAGCTTCGCTAAATCTCGAGTAAAAATGATATTTTGAGCTAAAATTTAAATGGTAGTTAGAGGCCCACTAAGTCATTTAGTATAAATCATAACTGGGATCCAGGGTCAAGTTCAATCAGCCAAGGGGAACTGTTTCTTGAAACATATCTGTGGCAAGAGGGGAAGGGTAAATGATTTCATTCCCCAATGTGATGCTACCCTTCGGAAAATACTCTCATACCGCGGTAAATGCGTGGACTACAAAAAGAACAGTCTCCTACTTGCCAGCGGCAGGGTTTTTTTTTTTTTTTTTTTTTTTTTTTTTTTTTTTTTTATCAAAACAGTCTTAATAGCCTATGCCTGCAGCGCTCTTTATACCTTTTTCAACAAGTCAAGCTTTTGGAAAGATTCGCAAATTACTTGAGTTTTAGGTAATTAGTTAATGCTAGAGTTTTCTGATAGCAAATCAAAATGATTGCTGACTATTGAAATTCATTAACTCCCATTATGAATGGTGAAAACTAAAATTCAAATCTATGTTCATCTATTTGTTACTGGTTTTACTTAAAGCTGCTCCATCCCAGATCTTTTAATTCCCTTTGGCCAGCAATGAAGACATTGTTCTTATCCCATTTCATCTCTTTGTGAGGGACAAAGTGAAGTCTATCGAATTGGAAATACATACATATTACTTGACGCTTATTCTGCAAAATGGATTTGTACTATTTAATGCAGGGAGGAAATAAGCAGAAAGGCAAAATAATATCAACTTCATGATAGTTTTTTAGCTACACTTATCACTGTAGAGTTGGGCCGGGTATCCGGCGATTATCCGGATTGCCGGATTATCCGGCCGGATACCGGATATCCGGCTCCGGCCGGATACGATTTTCGCGAGTATCCGGATCCGGCGGATAATCGCGCTATCCGGTTTTTGGACCCGCCGAATAGTGCTTTTTTGGCCCTGAAAATTTCGATAAATTTTTGGTGGTATTCTTTCTTTTTTCTTCCCTATCAATACAATTTTCTGAATTTTTTCCTGAAACTTTTGACTTTTTTTCAGTCATGGTAATTGTTCGACCTTTATTACCGGAATAACGCACATGTTCTGCTAATTGACGCGATCGCAACGTAAATTCCTTTAGTCCGCGACCCGCGTGTTTCACTATGGAACGCCGTTAGTGTCAAAACCCTTTTCTTGCGCGCGCGGAATTTTTTTTTGGCGCGCGGAATATTTTTCCGGCGCGCGGAATTTTTTTTCAGCGCGCGGAAAGAAAAAACCCGTTTTCGATGAAAATCTCTGAATTTCCGGATTCCGCGCCGGTTTTCGATACATTTGCGCCGTTTGTGTCAAAACTATTTTTGTCGGCGCGCCGCTTCAAATCTGTTCCGCGCGCGGAATTTTCGATATATCGATTCCTGCTCGCCGTTTGTGTCAAAACTATTTTTTCCGGCGCGACGCTTCAAATCTGTTCCGCGCGCGGAATTTTCGATATATCGATTCCTGCTCGCCGTTTGTGTCAAAACTATTTTTTCCGGCGCGACGCTCCAAATCTGTTCCGCGCGCAGAATTTTCGATATATCGATTCCTGCTCGCCGATCGTGTCAAAACTGTTTTTTCCGGCGCTGCACCAGAAAATAATTCCGCGCGCCACTTTT